AAACGGGGATCTAAATCAGTCTTTATGAACAATAAACAATAATAACTATACTTAAAAATATATTTGTGCAAGTTCACCATCTGCAGCTTGGTTCAACATTATTGTTCAGCCAAGATTTCCTTGTATAATATAACATTTAATTGTTTACTTAGGTCTACTATGTAGATAGGTATCTGCTTACTAAAAAATCATCAAGATATAGTCTACTGTGAGCAATTTCAATTTTACTGTATGTACAATTTTATTTTAAAGCATGAACCAGGCGTTAATAATGACAGGTTGTCGGGTGACGAAAAACGTTTAACAAAATATTAAGTCATTAATGTCTACACAATAACGAGGAACATTCAAAACGGTATACTATTAGTCCAATTATAGACATTATGTAGAAGTTATAAATTGTAGTTACAATCTGACATTTGTTGGAATTATCTGCCATAGAAGTACACTAGCATTGGTCGAAATTGAACCATTTCACACTGTCTAAGAATAAAATAGAACTTGTTAATAACATATAAGGCAACACTAGATGATGACCGAGCTTGGTCATTTTTTTTTTTTTGATAACGCCATCTTGTTGTATCTTTATAGCGGTTAGTATAGTATTATTATTCGCCAATAGATATCGGGAAGAGTTGATTATTGAAAACACGAATAAAACAACATTTTCTGAAAATAAATCGTAGTTAGATCGATTTATCGCCCCCGAAATCCCCTTTAAACTAAATTTTATGAAAATCGTTGGAGCCGTTTCCGAGACTCAGATTATTCAATCAGACCGTTTCCGAGACTTAGATTATTATATCAATTGCTCGTTTAAAAGTATAAGATAAGCGAATTCGATTTTTAGTAATCCAAAATATAGTTTAATCGTACATATCGCATACAGAAATAAATTTTGTTGACGCATATATCCGTATCGAATCAATTTTGTTCACAGACAACATTGAATTATTCGTAGAATAACATAAATTGACGTTTATTGTGATCCGTGCCATGCCAATCGGCATTATTGAAACGCGTCACTTTCGCCGCTATGTCGGGTTGTGGCTTTCTTCTGTCAATCTCCATGGGTACACGTAATTGGTGCAATATTTGCAAAACTTTAGAATATACTGAGTCTTTACTCATATCGATCTCGATCTATATCGTATAATCAAACGACGTTAACGTGTAGTTCTCCTCACTATGACTGTTTATTTCTGCTTCTGGAAAATAAGACTTGACCTAAAAGTCTTAGTTACCAGGTCAAAAAATACCTTTAAAAAAAAAGAATTATGCTTCTGGCCATACTCCAGTCCGAAACTTGCCCTGTACTCTGATAGGTATGGCTATAGATATTATATGTACGAGCAACTATCACATGAGTATATTGCTATTATACTAATATATTTCGCAGTTCAGTGGTTACTGTAGTCACATCAGAATTTGGCTGACGTCGACCACCTTCGAACTACGGTACATAATTCTTTCATAGCTTACCAGGCAGGGTGCAGGAAAAACCATTTACAGTTTAACATTTAGGTGGTGGAACATTACTTTAACTTTTATTTCTTCTTTTTATTGCTTAGTTGGGTGCACGAACTCACGGTCCACCTGGTGTTAAGTGGTTACCGGAGTTCATAGACGTAAATGTCGCCACCCACCTTGAGATATAAATTCTAAGATTTCAGTTTTTTTTTATAGTACTAAATAAATTCATAATATAATTATATATAATTAGATATACATAGTATAATTATGAATTTCATTCGTTAAAACGGAACGACTTTTCCAATTAAATCCATTTTCCCACCAAAAATGACTAAAGGGGATGGCCCATTTTAGGCCCAAAGCGGACAATAGATTATAGAAAAAATACTTAGTGCATTAATTTTGTCATAAATAAATATGCATTTACTTTCTTGCAAATAAGCGCCACTATAGTTTACAATATGTAGTTTAAAAAAAGTAACTCTATTGAAAAAACAAGGATTTTTATTTTTGCGGGAAAAATATTGCCAGCTTCAAATCCTTTTACGTATGAAGTAAATATTTTGAGTATATAAATAAAACATATAAATAAATCATTTTAAGTATTATCTTTAATCAAACGATTTTAATGGATTTTATGCACATAAAATAACATCGAAGACATACCCATTGGACTTTAACTTGTAACTATACTTGAGACCTTAGAACTTATATCTCAAGGTGGGTGGCGCATTTACGTTGTAGATGTATGTGGGCTCGAGTAACCACTTAGCAGCACCAGGGTGGCTGTGAGCTCGCCCACCCATCTAAGCAATAAAAAAAACTTTACTAGTATTGTTATTTAAATATGTACAACTAAAACAAAAACATAAAAAATAATGT